AGGACATCATCTATAAAGGGCACAACCATCAGAAGTGTGTATAAATAACACAAACAGACTGAAATCTGACTTTTTCCTCAGAGTATGTTGAGCCCGTTATGAGCTTGGTCATAAACACATCAGTTTTGTTGTTATATCTATTAAACTGCTGCAAGAGCTCAAGATACATTCCCAATAATGTATTTTTTTTTGGTATTTATAACGATCCTGTTCATGCTGCAAAGTCCATCCAAAAACGGTGCACATCGTCTGTGGCTTCTTTTCTTCTTCTGTTGTGTACAGCACACAATGCTTTTTTGTGAGCTTGAGTCCACACTACAGTCGGATTTCCAAGAGGTTTAGATGGATACCATCTCAGTGCCGCGCTACAGTTTTCAGAGCAGCTACCAGAGTCGAGATTCAGGTTTCTCCGCACAGCTTCATGGAGTGGCCTGGCACATAGTCCTTGGCAAATCCGCAGTCTCTCTCCCCCACATGAAAAGGATACAGGGCTTTTTCTGAGGGGGGGGGGGAGGTTGTTTTTGTTTCAGGCAGTCACCATTTATCATCTTCCAATGAATCTGAGACTAAATGTGGAGAACAGCTCATGTGCCATGACCTAGAGACAGTTGAATTCAGTTGGTTAGGGGAATGTCATTCCATGCCCCTACTCTGCAAATAGCTTCTGCCCCAAGGAACACGCTTCCTTTTTCTCCCTCTGCATCTCCTTCATGCTCCTTTTGCAAATCCCCCAACTTACCAGCCCACCGTGCTTTTGCTGCTCTCTTTGTGTAGATGAGGGAGATCCTGACAGCTATACAGAGAAAGCGACTAAAGATTGTGCCAGAGCAGTAAACTGTCTCTGCTCTTCTACTTCTCACCAGGCAGCTCTGCAGGGTATAATTTCTCAATCTAATTTTTTTTATAGGCAACTGAGCTTGATGGTTTATTTTGCATCCACTTGTTCTGCACGACAGCTTAATGGTGGGCCTAGGTAAAAGCATTTATACCCCCTCCGCACCCCTTGCCACACCTTAAGGAAGTTCAGGGCAAACACCTAGGGCAAATAAGAACATAAGGGAAACCCATGTTGGATCAGGCCAGTGGCCCCTCCAGTCCAACACTCTGGGTCACACAGTGGCCAGAAATACCAGGTGCCCTCAGGAGGTCCAGGACACTAGAAGCCCTCCCACTGTTCACCCACCCCCCCAGCACCAAGACAACAAAGCAC